GGTGAAGCTCACACAATCGGTGAGAAACTCATCAAGCCTTGCTTGATTGAGGCCGCTGAAAATTTCCTTGGGCAGACTCAAGTTGAGAAGTTCCGAAACATACCGCTCTCAGATAGCACGGTCGCTCGACGTATCGAGAACATCAGCTCATGGCTGGAGGCGAAGGTCTGCGGCGAGATCAGGTCGAGTCCTATGTGGGCGCTTCAACTGGACGAGTCTACGGACGTGAGTGGTTCAGCAATCCTCTTGGTTTTAGTGCGCTATGTATTCGAATGTGATGTTCACGAAGAGCTATTGCTATGCAAGTCTCTGAAGAGTAACGCGACAGGAGAGGCAATATTCAATGTGATCGATGCCTATCTCAAGGAGAATGGTGTTCCTTGGGATACGTGCATAAATATCTGCACCGATGGCGCGGCTGCCATGGTTGGCCACCAGAAAGGCGTCGTCGGTAAAGTGAAGAAGGTCTCACCGGATACCACGGCCAGTCATTGCATCATTCATCGCGAAATGCTTGCGATGCGAAAACTTCCCTGGTCCCTCGAGACCGCGCTCACTGAAGCCGTCAAGATTGTCAACTACATTAAGACCCGACCATTGCAGTCAAGATTATTTAAAATTATGTGCGACGAAATGGGAAGTTCGCATTCATCATTGCTGCTCCACACCGAAGTCAGGTGGTTATCCCGGGGTCGAGTCTTGAATCGTCTTTTCGAGCTGCGGAAGGAGCTCATGAACTTCAGTCTCGATAGCCCATTCAATCTGTGCGAGCGTCTCCGGGATTCCCAGTGGCTAAAACAGCTCGCTTATCTAGCAGACATGTTCAATAAACTGAACGAGCTCAATCTATGTCTCCAAAGGAGGAGCGTGACCATCTTCGACGTCACAGACAGGATCACCGCAATGAAGCGAAAGATGGAGCTCTGGGCTGAACTGATATCCGAAGATCGCCTCGACTTCCTGCCGACACTCCAGGATTATCTACGCGAGACAGACGAAACATTGGATGAGAGCATCAAGCATGATATTCACGATCACTTGTTGAACTTGCGTGATAGTCTTGAGAAATATTTTCCATCAAAGTCGATGGAAGATCAGATTGCTCATAAGTGGATTAAAAATCCTTCCTCGGCTTCTCTTGATCGCGGGCTAAGTGCCTGCCAGAATGAGGAATTGATCGAGTTACAAAACAACTCGCAGCTGAAGCAGCTCTTCCTCACAACCTCTTTAGCGAAATTCTGGGCTTCTGTCAATGACAACTTCCCACTCCTATCGAACCTAGCGCTGAGAACACTCGTGCCTTTCGTCAGCACGTATCTCTGTGAAAGAGGGTTTTCGGCTTACATCGCAACCAAGAATAAGTACAGGAACCGACTAGACGCTGAGCCCGATATGAGGCTCCAGCTTTCCAACAGGACTCCAAATTTCGCTGAGATCTTATCCGGAAGCCGCAATCATCCGTCTCATCGATCACATCCACTGTATGGTAGAAACTTTCCATCGAGGGTACAAACCCGATCATCCTTAATAAAATCTTGGAGCGTCGGAGCTGATCGTGATTGAAGAGATTGAATTTCTCACGCGGGAGTCCCTATTCCAGCGTATGGCTCCGTGGAGTGTTCCGCGGGTCATTTGGGGTGCTGTCGGGGTTCCACGAAAAATAGAAATTGAGAACCACTGGGTTAGAGCACACACCTATGGAACTTCGGAGCGGGGTAGTAGTGGCTCGTCCGTCATCTAGTGACGGGAGAAATGATTCGACAGTTCGTTCCGTGCCACTGCAATCCGTGTGGTCAGCGGAAGACATCAGTTTCGGGACGAAATCCTCCCCGAAGGGCGAAGTACAAGAAAAGGACATGTTGTTGACATGAGAGCAGGAGAGAGCGTTGTCGATCAGGAACCCAGCATTGACGATTTGGGCCTTGAGGAAGGCGAAGATTTCACAGTACGTGGTTATTCAGGAGAGTTTCTTCGCCCTCCGCGTGCGAGTTATGCTGGGGTCGATTTGATCTTACTGTGTAAGAGAATTGGAATTGTTGCTCTATGTTTGATAGTCTTCGGGGGATCTATCTTCATTTGTGTCGAGGATTTCTGGGGTTCTGAAAGGGCAGCCGGATCGATGAGTGTATCGGCGAGAAATTTGCTATTCGATCCGCCAGAGTCGGTATCTGGCCGACACCATGAGCTACGCATTAATACTAAATTCACGGTATGACCGAGCGCAATCGAAACACTCGACCTTGGGAAACCACTTGGCCATACATGTATGCAGTAGCGTCCACAGGGGGGGGGGGGCAGGGGGCCATGCCCCCCCAAGATTTTCAGTCGACCTGTCGTCAGATGGACGCACTCTCAGCGTACTCAAAAAAAACAGATCTTCGGAGTACGATGAAAGGAGAGAGATTGAATGGCTTGACGGCTTTGAAAATTCATCGAGAAATGCCGCTTACTGTTGAAGAGATAGTGGACTACATGGCGGCTAATCCGAGAGAGCTTGAAATTGTTTTGTGAAGTAGTTTCGGGGAAGTAGATTAATACTCGAATAGTTCGATGGTTGTGCTATTTGTGATAGATTAAAATCTGAAGTTCCTGCATTCCCCTCACTTATGGTCATGATTGTAAGTACGGGGTTTCGTGCTTTATCTCGAGAATCACCATCTCCGGACAAAATCGAGAAATTGTTCTTTTTGATGCGACTCAAGAAATCGGCTGGCCCCCCCAAAAAAAATCGTATGGACTCGTCCGCATGTATGTCGAGAACGGCGCTATGAACATGTTAGCATAGACTTTGTTAGGTCCTGGGGTGAGATGAGATACAAAGGGAAAACGAGCACGTGTTGTCTACTCGACGACCTGGTAGGAAGTTAGTCGTCGTAACGATACTTATTGTAAACATAAATATTCAAACTCGGCGCGCTCTGACCGTCAGGCGCCACTAGGTCCCAGCACTTCTCCCCTTCTCGGGACGCAGCCCCGCGAGCGCACGATAATCAACGCGAGGTTTCATCCTATCAGAACGACGGAGTGGAGGGGTACTCGGTACTGCAGACGGATCCGATACATCGATGGCTGACTCTCGAGCGAGTAACGGAGACTCAAGGAGATCTGTTGGGAACGGGGGATGATGATCAAGTGAAGAGCAACTTCGCTTCCACAGCTGGTTTCGATGACGAATGTGCTCTTGGCCTTGTGCCTCAACCTTGTCCATGACGGGTCCCATGAATTGACGAATCGTCGCCGTAACCCTACTCCCATCAGCGAGAGCGATCGTTACCGTTTCCCGATGGAGAAAGAGCGCGGTTTGGCGCCGTGATGACGATTGTAGTATGCTTCCATCTTCTCCTGACCCTCCGTTCGAGGAACGTCAACGGGCTTCCGCGCCAGAACCTCTGGAGGAGTCCTGATCTTTCGGCCGAAAAACACCTCAGCAGGGGTTTCATTTCCGATCGTAGAGTTCGGCGTGTAGTTATATGCGGCCACAGCGGCATCCAACGAGGCAGGATCGGAGGTGATCGAGTGTTTCAACGTTCCGACCATCCTTTCCGCTTGGCCGTTGCTTTGAGGACAGCGAGGAGCTCATCAGAGATGAATTATATTGAAATCCGCGCACAGTTTAGCGAATTCAACCGACACGAACTGGCCACCGTTGTCAGACATCATGGTATCCGGTGGCCCGGAGAGCCGGAATAAGTTGCGGAGATAGGCCACGAGAGCTCGGCTTGTTGCCGGCGAGAGCCAAGCCGCATCGACGGAGAAGCTGACGACGATTACGAGGAACGTTTTCCCTTTTTGAGTTTCCGCGAAGTCGAGGTGGATCCGGGACCACGGCTTCTGACTGCCCGGCCACGGTTGCAGAGGAACCTTGATTGGATCCGCGGCATTCTTGATACAATGTCCGCAAGACTTTACGTAGACTTCGATGTCTTGACCCATTCGTGGCCAATAGAAATGACTGCGTGCCAGTGCTTTCATGCGACGAGCCCCGGGATGCGCGAGGTATAGCTTCTATAGCACCGCAGTTCGCAAGGATACCGGAACGACAACTCTGTCGTCGAGCAAGAGAATGTCGTCGACGACACACAAGCCTTCCGCTTGTTGTGCGAATGCGCGGAGAGACGGATCTTTGCGATCTTTATCAGACCATACGTTTTGAAGGCGACTGAGAATGGAGCGGAGGAACGGGTCTTGCCGGGAAGCTCTGCGAAAATCTGTGGCTAAATCCCATGCACCGAGATTACTGCGAGCCAAGAACGAGACTTCCATTTCGTTGCAATTGAGGCTTCCGATCACCTCGCCCATAACTGAATCTCCGCCATCTCTCCTAGCCTCACTGATCAGGCGCGACAATGCGTCTGCATGACCGAAAGCGTCGGTTCGGATGTATTCGATATGGAAATCGTATCCGAGCAACCGGAGAGCCCAGCGCCTTAGGCGCGCGGCGGTTCTTTCGCTGAGACCTTTTATGTTCGTCGGCTGGAACAAGGCCACCAAGGGGCGGTGGTCGGTCTGTAAAATGAAGCGCCGGCCCCAGATGAATTTGTGAAGTCGCTCAACGGTGAGCACAAGAGCCAGTGCCTCTTTTTCAATCTGGCTGTAGATGTGGAAAACAGCTTTCTCGTTTCCATCTGAGTAGCGCTGGAGAAGCACACCACCGATACCAGCATCACAAGCGTCGGCGGCGACAACGAGAGTTTGACGAGGGTCGTAGTGTGCGAGAAGGAGAGGTCCCGTGAGGATTTCCTTCGCTTTGATGAACGCCTCGTCGTGGACTTCGGACCAATTGAAGACGACATTTTCCTTCAGGAGTGCTTCGAAAGGAGCCTTGATCGCGTGCATTCGAGGAGAAAATTTCCCGTAGTAATTGAGGAGTCCCAAGAAAGCTCTCACATCTGATGGAGATTTCGGTTGTCGGAGATTTCGGATCGCTTCGATTTTTGAAGGATCGGCTTGGATGCCCTTGTCGGAGATAATCA